TTTAGATCAGCGATGATATCATCCACATGTTCGAGACCTACGGACAGTCTGATCAGTCCATCAGTGATACCCGCGGCTGTTCGTTCTTCAGGTGTCAGTTTGGAATGGGTCGATGATGCAGGATGCGTAATGATCGTGCGTGTATCTCCAAGATTGGCAGATAAGGAGATCATTTCTCTAGCATCGATGAGTTGCCGTCCAGCTTCGATACCGCCTTTGAGTTCGAAACTGACCATACCACCACCAGCTTTCATTTGTTTGGCGGCGATTTCGTACTGTGTATTAGAAGGAAGAAATGGATAATTCACATAAGCGACCTGACTATTTGACTCCAACCATGTAGCTATTTGTAATGCATTCTGACAGTGACGATCCATTCTAATGGCTAGTGTTTCAAGACTTTTGGACAGAACCCATGCATTGAAAGGTGACATAGATGGTCCTGCATTTTTCATGAAGGGATAGATTTGTTCTATGATCTTTTTATTGGAAATAATAGCGCCACCCATTACCCTACCCTGTCCATCGATATACTTCGTGGCAGAATGAATAGATATATCTGCTCCGAAAGCAAGTGGTTGTTGTAAATATGGTGTAGCAAAACAATTATCGACAATGAGCAGTATGCCGTGCTTTTTGCAGAAGTTACTAGTTGCTTCTAGGTCTATGACGTCTAGTCCAGGATTTGAAGGTGTTTCCAGATATAGCAGTTTGGTAGTTGGCTTGACCAAAGCCGTCCATTGTTCTATGTTTAGTGGATCGATATAATCGTAAGTGATGCCCCATTTGTGGAGATAATCGTCATTGATTTTAAAGGTCGAACCAAAAACAGCTTTTGACATCAGTAAATGATCGCCACTACTCAATAATGATGCGAATGTGGCAAAAATAGCTGCCATTCCTGTAGCTGTGGCTATACAATCTTCTCCACCTTCAAGAGCTGCCATTTTATTTTCAAATTCTCGCACAGATGGATTGGTAAATCTTGAATAGATATTGCCTTCAGCTTCATTGGCAAAGAGCGCTCTCATGTGTTCTGCATCGTCAAACACAAAACTTGACGTGGCGAATATTGGTGTACTATGCTCATGATGTTGAGACCTATCTGTCTGTAGGCGAATGGCTTTTGTTTCAAATTTCATTTATAAAAATCTTACTAATTTCTGAAATTGTTTGAATTGCTGACAGCTCGTTTTGATTAAATATCATCGCTCCATCCCGGCACCCTCACTTCAAAACTATGGGTGATTTCCACCGACTTTGCAAGCATAAGTGACACAGAACAATATTGCTCCATAGACATTTGCACAGCCTTTTCAGCTTTCTCTTCCTTGACATCTCCGGTGATGATGTAATGTAAATGCATTTTGGTAAATACAGCGGGAACTGCATCTGCCCGTGTGCCATCTATCTCTACAGAGATCGTTTTTACGTCCTGACGCATTTTTTTGAGTAGTGTTTCCACATCTATTGAGCTACACGCAGCTGCTGCCATCAGTACTGATTCCATTGGACTTACAGCTTCTTTATTACCAGAAAATTGTATAGTTTGTCCACGTTCATTGGTTCCTTTAAAATTCAAATCACCATAAGTCGACTCTAAAAATACCTTCATTACCGTATATAATTGTTAAGTTGTTGAATTTGTGCATATTGTGAAGTTGGAAAGAAAAATGGTACATGTAAATGATATCAATACCTTCGTTGAAACCATATCTAAAATCCTTACATCTACGCCATTCACCATAACGCAAAGGTAATACAATGAAACAATCACACTACAAAAAATAAGAAATTAATACCCTTAACATACAGATGTAATAAAAAAGGCGTTATTTTCGCAGCCTGAATTGATTTATTATCCATAAAATACACATATGTTTACCATAAATATCTACTTAAAATTTGCCATCATTGCTATCTGTTTAGTTGGTGGAATTATTCTTTCGTTTGTCCTTGGTGTAGGCTACACTTGGATTTTCATTATAATAGGCATTATCTTTTTGATCAGTTATATCTTGCTAGGAACTGTACAGTCTGCATCAGAATTGCTTCAAGTGTCTGATTTTGAAGGAGCAGAAAAAAGATTAAATCTTACCTATTTCCCTAAATATCTTTATATTACTAATAGAGCATTCTACTACATACTAAAAGGTTCGCTTGCAGCACAAAGAAAAGATAATACTGAAGCTGAAGGTTATTTTAACGAAGCGCTTGCACTAAAACTTCCTTCTGATAATGAAAAAGCAATGGTCCTACTCCAAATGGCAGGTATACAAGCAAATAAAAACAACTGGAATGGTGCTAAAAATTACTTCTACCAAGCAAAGGGACTGAAAATTACTGAACCAACATTGAAGGAACAGTTCAAACAATTTGAAACTGCCATCAACAATCGTGGTCAGATGAAAGTAGCCCAAAGTATGGGTATGAAAACAGGTCAAATGATGATGCCGGGTGGAAAAAGAAGAAGACCTAAGATGAGATAGGAAGGTAAATCTCTGATAGAATGGCTCAAAGACATCGTATCGGTTAGCAGAATCTCAAAGAAAAACAGAGGTAGGACGTCTCATAGCCGTACCACAGCAAAATAATACCATGAAAACTTTATATATGACAAACTCAAATTTCTTTATTAAATCACTGGCAATCAGTGCTATAACATTTATAGTCTTTTTGACATCTTGTAAAAAAGATGAAGATACCAACCTTTTTAAGGATTGTGTTTTACCTTGGACTGAATTAGAACCAATCCCGCAAGCTGACTTACCTAAAGAGATTGTAGATTTTACTTTTAAAACTTTCCCAGAATTAGATACGATATATGCTACTGTGATAAATTTTTGTAACAATAAGAGACTTTATATCCAAACAGATGGAACGATCAATTACGACTTTTTGCTTTATGATAACTGTGGAGATTTATTAGCAAAAGGTAAAACTGAAAAAGATAGTAATATAAGGTCTGTACTGAGCAAAAGTATAAAACAGGAACTTGGAAATGAAGCTTCACTATATGATTCATTTATCGTAAATTACGAAAACGGCAATATAGAGTATATTTCAGAAGTTTATTTTTTAGGAGATTCACCAAGATATTTGTTTGACAAAGACGGTAAGGTTTTGTGTAAGTTGTTTTGAGACAGTAATCATGGGTGAATCCCAAAATTACACTTAGTTTAAAATTTCTTTTGTTTTACCTCGACCATACAGGTGACAAAATGAATTTTAATTTGTTTCTGTGCAAAAATAAGATACACCCGTCTATTCCATTTGAAATTACATCTAAAAAGTAAAGAATCAAGGTAATTGCAAAAAAAAAAGCAGCACCTTGTTTCCAAAGTACTGCTTTTGTAAGCTTAAAAAATTAATATTTTATGCGCCAATTACTTTACCATTACTGATTTTACCGACGATTTTATTCTTTTCTAAAAGTTGATTTATGGTTTCAGCCTTTGCTTCCAGATTTTTAATCTTCGTTTTGGCTTCATTCAGTTTGCCTTGAAGCAAGTCTAGATTTTTAAGTTGAGCATTGGTAGGTTTACCTGCATAACTTAGGACTTGGCCATAGAGATTGGCAATTTTTTCTCTCAGTTGTGGTTCTGCAGCACCCACGTAGTTATCACCTGTGGTCACTACTAGAATTTTTCTCAAATCTTCTATCTCTTTGACATACTCATTGAGCTGGAGTTTTTTGAGCATCTTTTTATCTTTCAAACCTCCTTTGATAGATTCTGATGTACTTTGTAACTGATCTATTTTGTCCACTTCATCTGCGAGTAATTCCATCATCCTATAAAGTTCCATGGCTTTTTCATCCTTTACTTTGCGATCTTCCTCGCTATGGATGGAGCTAGGGTCATATTTTAGCACTAGGTCTTGCGTGTACTCTTCTTTGCCTTTGGTGATCTTTACCGTGTATTTACCAGCAGGTACTTTAGGTGCTGCAAATCCTCCAAAAGTAAAGGTTTTGCCTTTTGCTGTTTTTGGCAATGGTAGGGTATAATTCCAAAGGACTTCATTGATGCCCTTGCTTTTGCCAGGTGCCAGATCCGCAACTTTTAAACCATTTTCATCAAAAACTTCCATCGTCATTTTGCCAAAAGTGTGTCTTTTGTTCATGTAATACACGATTCTAGCGGATGTCGTAGGCGTATTACCTAGATATTCGCCTACAGCTGGAAACTCTTGAAAAGTAACATTTTCATTGATTACGGCAGGATCCAAGGTGATAAATTCAAGGTCTTTGCTGAGTAATGATTCATTGATCGCTCTGAGTGGTTTCAGGTCATCGATGATGATGACTCCTCTACCATGTGTCGCCATTACCAAAGCATCTGCCTCTTTTTGTATTGCGAGATAGTGAACGGCTACCTGTGGCATGTCATTGTCAAATCTTGCCCAATTGTTACCTCCATCCAAAGATATGTACAATCCCATCTCCGTACCAAGATACAAAATATCTGGATTCAAATGATCTTCTTTGATGCACCTAGCAAACACTGGAACTTGCTCATTAATAACTGATTTCCAAGTATTGCCACCGTCTGTAGTCTTCATCATATATGGCTTAAAGTCACTCATGGTATGACCATCAAAAACAACATAAGCTGTATTTGCATCAAAATTGCTTGGTTCGATAAAATACGTCCATGTATTTTTTGGAACACCTGTAATTTTGGAAGTAACATTGGTCCATGTCTTTCCTCCATCTTTGGTTACCTGCACATTTCCATCATCTGTACCGACCCAAATGATATTTTTGTCTATCGGTGACTCATTAATCGTAAATACAGTACAATGGTTTTCAGCCCCAGAATTATCAGCACTCAGTCCTCCAGATGCTTCTTGCAATTGTTTTTTAGGATCATTGGTGGTCAGGTCCGGAGACATTTTAGTCCAAGTCTCCCCTTTATCATCAGAAACATGAACAAATTGACTACCTACGTATACTCTATCTGGATAATGCAAGCTGGTAGATAAAGGTGCATTCCAGTTAAACCTGAGTTTCGGATCACCTTCTTCGGCATAAGGTTTTATGGTTTTAGCCTGACTTTTTGCCACATTGACTCTCCATATATTTTCAGCGCCCTGCATTTCAGAATAAACGGTATTGGGATCATTCGGATGCGGATAAACTCTGAATCCATCGCCATATCCGACGGATGTCCAATCACTATTGCGAATACCGCCTACTTTATTGCTCGGGCCAACCCAAGATCCATTGTCTTGCAAACCACCATACACTTTGTATGGCTTTTGATTATCCACAGACACATGATAAAATTGCGACAAAGGCAATCCTTTTACCATTTCCCACACGACACCACCATCTCTAGACTTGTACACGCCACCATCTGTGCCAACGACGATATTGTTAGATTCATTAGGATCAAAAATATAGTCATGAAAATCTGAATGGATGCCACCACCTATACTTCTGAAAGTCTTACCGCCATCCTTGCTCATATATCCTTGGAGACCTGCTTTCAGAATGATGTCAGGATTTTTAGGATCGACTACGATTCTGGAAAAGTAGAAAGGTCTAATCACTAACTCAAAATCACCATTGAGTTTTTTCCATGATGCACCGCTATCTTCAGATTTGTAAAGTCCTTTATCGGCATCCTTTTCTGTTTCGAGTACAGCATAAACAATGGATGGTTTGGAAGGAGCTACTGCCACCGCTATTCTTCCCAATTTACCCGATGGAAAGCCATTGTGAATCTTATTCCAAGTCTTACCACCATCTATAGATTTATATAAAGCTGAATTGACACCACCTGAATTAAAAGAATAACCTGTCCTTCTGAACTCCCAAAAAGATGCATACATAATATCTGTATTCATAGGGTCCATGATCAGATCTGCACATCCTGTTGTTTCATTGACATATAAGACCTTATTCCAAGTATTGCCACCATCATCAGATTTGTACACACCACGTTCCTGACTATCACCCCAAAGCGCACCCAAGACACCTACAAAAATGGTTTTAGAATCTTTAGGGTGGACGATGATATTGCTTATACGTTCAGATTTTTCCAAACCCATTTTTTTCCAATTTTGCCCACCATCATCTGATTTGTAGATACCATCACCAATGCTCACGCTGTTCCTAGTCCATGTTTCACCCGTACCCACCCAAATCGTTTTATCTGGATCAGAAGGATCCACTGCAACTGAACCAATACATTGTGTATGTTTATCAAATATCGGGTTAAATGTGACTCCAGCATTTACCGTTTTCCAGACACCACCACCTGCAGCAGCGACATAATACACCTTGGAATCCTTTGGATGGGCTTCCAAGTCTACTACCCTACCTGACATGACTGCAGGACCAATTTGTCGCGCCTTAATGGCTCCAAACAATTCGTCTCCTTTTACGGGAATAGATTTTTGCCCGATGGATTGGCTTATGAAGCCAATTAAAAAAGTAAATACCATTAAACTTCTCATATATAAAAAGTATAGATTATTTTAAATTGAATACCAATAAAATTTTACAAATGTTGCCCCCTTTCGATGCATGATGACCATTTCTACATTGGATCACATCATGGATTTAAAATATTTCATCTTCCTGATGTCTTACCTGGTTCGCACCGCTTATCCATGTACCACCCATTATAAAACTAGACATATCCTTCTCAAATGCTATGTCTTATGTACAAATAAAAGGAAGAATTTACTATTGTTCAGGGAAAGAAAATACTTTATCATCTATCTCCACATTAAATTCTATGGTATTCATCTTGATGGATGCTTGTACTTGACCTTCAAATTTTTGATCCACAGAAAATGGCAAAATCAAACCATTTGTCTCCTGATAGTCCGACATATACGTCTCAGAAAACTTCCCTTTAGCTGGACCTTTTTTGATTTCGGATTTCACCAAAATTGGGACGTAGTTTTCTTTATCAAAAAAGTAAAAGGATGCATTCTCCACATCTTGACCATCTATTTTAATAGGCTTTTTAGTTAGTTTAACTTTAAAACAATCTGTACCTTCTATCGTTTCGCTTCCTTGAAGCTCGGCTGTATATCCTTTTTCTTTATATTTCAAAAATACCTCTGGAAAATCTCCATATTCAGCCTTTTTCCTGATTTTCAGCGGTGACGTTTGGCAGTAAACTGAAACTTATCAGTCCGAGTAAAGCCAAAATACTGAGTGCAATATATTTTTTGACGACAGGGATTTTCCAAGATAGGAAAACAAGTATGTTTTTATCTATTTTTCTAAAAAAAAATGGAGCGGCGATGCAAGACGATATCCAAGTATTGACAAAGGGATATTGCTTATTACTTTATTTACGCCATCCGTTAATTAGCGACCCCATTCACATTCAACTTATTAATCGCTTCGGTCTTATTGGTCACCTGAAGCTTTTCATAAATTTTATGAATATGTTGTTTGACCGTACCAGTAGTGATAGATAAGGTTTCACCAATTTCTTTATACAGCATACCTTTTGCAAGCAATTGCAACAGTTCAAATTCTCTGGAAGTAAGTGGTAATGGATTATTAGTCGGCTGTACTTTTTTTTCTGTAAATGTCTCAATAATACGTCTGGCAATAGTTGGACTCATAGGCGCACCACCTTCAGCCAGCTCACGGATGGAAGTTATGATTTTGTCTTTTGATGCGCCTTTTAGTATATAACCATTAGCACCTGCTTGCAATGACCTAAAGATCTTTTCATCATCTTCATATACTGTAAACATACAGAAAAGGACATTAGGACATTTATCTTTTAAAGTTGTGATTGCATCGATGCCACTCGCTCTTGGCAATCCAATGTCGACTATGACAATATCTGCATCTTGATGTGGAACAAACATCATAGCTTCTTCCGCATTATGAAAAATGTGGTCGCAAATCATGTCCGATTGGCTATTTATCAAAGCTTGAACGGACAATGCCACATCTTTAATATCTTCGATAATAGAGATTTTGATCATTTGAGTATCCATCGCTCATTCAGATTTAACATTGGTTTTAATTTCAGGCTCAAGATGCAAAAATATTTTGATAATCATATCATTATCTTCCCTTTTGTAAGAAATTTTACCGTCAATATTGGCCATTCGTTTTTCAATATTGAAGAGTCCGTTTCCTTTTTCTTTCATAATTAAAGGGTCAAATCCTACCGATTGTTTTTCTGTGATAACAATCTCTAAATCAGGTTGTCCTGTAATACTGATATTGATCTCTTTAGCTTTTGAATACTTTACACTATTATGCAAAAGCTCTTTTACCACCAAAAACAAGTTACGTCTTTTTTCGCCAGAGATATTGATATCATAATTGACATCGTTTTCTTTAAAGGTATTGCTTACATTATTGTCATCCAAAAACTCTACCGAAAAAAGACGAAGATAACTGATCAGACCTTGTATATTATCAAACCGACTATTCATGGCCCAAATGATCTCAGACATATTTTTGACCAAAACGGTGCTGTAAGTTGCGATTTTATTTACATCTTCTTTGATCGCATTGTCAAAAGTATTTGAGACAATATTATCACTTAGATATTTGATTACAGTCAGTCCAGAACCAAGATCATCATGCATTTCTGAAGCTATTCTATTTCGCTCATTCTCCAAGTTCAATTGATTTTGGATGATGAGTTCTTGCTCACGGAGTTGGGCATCTTTCTGACTATTTACATATTCATTTTTTCTTTTCTGATAGGAAATAAAAAACCATATCAGCAGCGCTGAAAGTAATAAGGATGCAGTAAACGCAGTAACAACAATTAATTCTTCTTCACGCATAATGCAGTACCAAGGTATCCTAAATTTAACAAAAAATTTGAAAAAATAATCAACAATGGGTACAAATTTGACTCAGAGTTAATTAAAAGTTTATCGGGAAATGCCAATATGGTCAAAGATGAAAAAAACAAAAGTAAAATCCCCAAGGAAAAATAAAATATTGGAAGCGTTGTGATATCTGTCAAATCCTTACTCTCTAATATACCTTTGAAAAATATAAATATTAGAATTGAAATGATAAATAGGCCTATCAAATAATAATTTTTAAAACTTATAAACATGTCTTCGTTAGAAATCACATAAATGACGTAAATGATCCAAATAAAAGCAACTAAAACAATATATTTTGACCACGACTTAGATTTAAAAAAATCATAATAAACGTAAAAATAATAAAGTATCACTATAATAGTAAAATAATTATAAACTACAAGTGAATTCTTAATCTTTATGCCAAAATAATATACTAAATACATTTCTACAAAAGAATTAACGAATAAGAATGGAATAAAAAGTGGAAAAGTCTTCTTTTTAGTAATGTAGACATAAACAGCCACCACTAAGGCTAATAAACCTATATAATGATATGGCGTGTAAAACTTGATTAATCCTTCAATTGTAATCATTTCAATTATTTTTTAATTTTAATTTGTACCTGTGGGGCAACTCTTAGGACAAGCCATTCCTATGTTAGTGACAATTTGACCATTCGATCCAGTTTTACCATAATAAGTCGTGCTATCTAATCCAGGAGTTAGATTTTTTACATATTTTAAAACTACGGTTGATCTACCCACATAATCAGCTGGATCCAGTCCTTTAGCCATAAGTTCTGTTTTGAAAGCCCCTTCGATTAAATCTGGATATTTTCCAAAAACAACTGCAATACCTGGGTTTTGTGGAATAGTATCTTGTATAAGCTCTATGGATTCCAAAATATTTGCTAAGGAAAAAAAGACTGCTTTGGTAGAGTCTAAACAATTGGTTTGTCTTGGAGCTGTAATTAGGTCGGAAAGCTCTTGAGAAATAGGATGTCCTACACGATCGGATGTGGTTTTTAAAGCTTGATATTTATTATAAAATTGAATTGCTTCTGCTATATAAGCTATTTGTTCCACAGAGTCTTTGCCTTCAGGTACTAAAGTAGCAAAAGAAGCAATTTGTGCATCAGCCTTATTATTGCATGACGTTATAGAAAAAATTGATGACAGTACCATTCCAATTAATAGAATAAAAAAAATTAATTTGTGCGCATTACTCATTGGTGCTTTGTGTTAAACTGATAAAAATAATTGACTGTTATAAAGAATCGCACAAAGTTAATTCAAAGAATTATAGCCCAATATATAACTTTTGTTATATGCCATTGCCAAAATCTCTTGGAAATTATTGATTTGCCAACTAAAAATTTAACTTATAATATTTATAAACTTCATCATTTAAGTATTACTACGTATCAAAAAAACAAGTAAAAATACGCTGATTTTATGCTTTTACACTGAATACCTTTGTAACCGTCAAAGTAGTTAGTTTATGCTGTCCAATAATTAGATCAAACTAGTTATCTAAGGCATTAGCGATTGAATTTTAAGTAGCCCCATTTTACCACTTTCAAAACCATTGGTATGAAAAGTATCAGAAACTTTTTGTCTTATTTTGTGATATCCTTTTTTCTGTTTGTAGGTCATTCTTTGTATTGCCAATCTGATGCTGCATCTAAGTCACAATTTTTTGATGCCAAATATGCTATCATCAAAAACAGTGTCGTACATAATGATACAGCCACCTTCAAAATGCTCAAAAATCATCCTATTAGAATTTCTAAAGTGAATGCAGATACGATTTTTGTCGAGCTGAAACAATTTGGCGAAGTGGACATTCCAGATAATGATTTGCTAAAAAGGGTACAAAAAGAAAATGTCGTCATGTATATCCTAATTAGTGAAGGTACCGACAAATTAAGATTTACAGATTTCGACTTGAGTCCACTAGTGATTCCTATCAAAATAAGACCTGTCCTGGATAACAACCCACTTCAGTTTTTGGGTGATGTGGCCATCGGTCCATATTTCGGATTTCAAAAAGGATCCAAGTCTTTTAACCTTACCTCCCAACCTACTCAAACATCAACCACTTTTTGCGCTTTCGGTACACCTACGATGATCAACCTCAACCCTTCCGACCAAAGTGACAGCACTACAAATACGAATACCGTCCTAGGCATTAGTACAGGTGGTGGTATTTTATTTGACATCAATGACCTTCAGTTTGGGCTAGTAGGTGGATGGGATTGGATAAGTGGTACAGCTTCACAATCATGGGTTTATCAAGGCAAACCATGGCTTTCTTTTTCTTTTGCTTACAATCTTTCAAACCAATAAATATATGGATACTACCGACAATTCCACACCAAATATCCCCGTCACTCAAAACAATCTCCTTACTGAGATCAAAGTGATATTGGATTTTATGTACCATAAAGGCATCAAATTGCCTGATAGTTTGTCCGCACAATCATTGACGAATGATGCCACTGATGTAAATACTGCCAGTTTGACCGCAGATTACAATGCTGTAATTACCGCCATTCTGCCATCTACACCTGAATCCATTGAGTTTATAGGGAAAGAATTTGAAGGCAAAATAGCGGATTTAAAATCTTGGAAAATCCCTGTCGTCAAAAAATATATTGCACTCAGTATTTTGGCTTTACTCGGACTGATAAGTTTCAGTTTACTGCCAAACGTCACCGCTGAAAATCAGGAAAAAGGAATTTTGGCATTGCAAGGTCTTCCTTTATTAGAAAATTTGGGTGTGATACTTTTTGCTTCATTATTGGGAGTGATGTTTTTTGTTTTGAAGACGATCAAAGATAAAATAGATGACTTCACTTTAGTACCTGTCGATATCTTTTCATTCAATATTTCCATTATGATAGGCATTGTTTCAGGTTTTATTATCTCAGAACTTTTTACATTCACATCGACCATTATGGGATCATCGGTAGAAGTACATAAAATGACTTTGGCTTTGTTAGGTGGTTTTGCTTCGGATGCGATTTTTTCTATCCTTCAGAATATCGTTAATAAAGTAAAGACACTTTTTGCGGAGTGATGAATTAAGGTGGTTGTGATGATCATTTGACGCTAATTTTCGTAGATTTCGTTAATCCTTTAGGGAATTTTTATACACGGATTTCACTAATTATTTGTTTTGTACCTAAAGGCACTGTGGAGATTGTATTTTAATTATTTGCTACCGATATATTGTCCCTGACGGGACTGGGTAATAAAGAGTTAGGCAAATTATTATTTTTTGGACGCTAATTCTCGCAGATTTCGCTAATTAATTTAGGAATTGTTATAACGCTAATTTTCACGGATTTCGCTAATTATTTGTTTCGTACCTAAAGGCACTGTGGAGATTGTATTTTGATTATTTACTACCTATATGTTGTCCCTGACGGGACTGGATAATAAAAGGCACCTTCCAAAATTACTTCGGAAGATGCCATCATGTATGGGAGATTATTTTACTTTCAAAAATAGAATCGCTACAAAAGTATCTTATTTAAAATGATGATTACCAAGAGACATCGTCAAGTGACGTGATCGGAAGTCTTAAACGGCTGCCTTCCAATACGGCTTCTGGCATGGTTGATTTTAAGGATGCAGCAAAACGGAATTTGCATCTGAGTTCCAATTCCGAAAGTGTGACTTCATATACTTTGAAGGCCTGTAATTCTAGGGTTTCTAAATCTTCTAGGTTTTGTGTTAGTAAAAATGCTTTAGATTTTAATTCGTCATTGACCTTGTAAAATAGGACTTTGTAAAACTCTCTTGGTATTTTTAATTTACGGTAAGTACGATCATCTTCATTAAATACGGGACCACCGATCATACTTATCTTTAGATCATCTACGTCTACATCTCTGAATACAGCATCTTCTAAGGCTCCCCAAATGCCACCAAGTCCACTTTGGTTAAAATCATTCATTTGTGGGGCAATATTGGTAAAGAAAAAAGAATCTATATTTGCTTTTTTTGCATCTTCCAAGCTACCCCATAATAAATCAGCACGTCTGGCTATATGGCCTCGATCTAGATCATTATTGGAGTACAGAGACTCACCAGCTTGGTATTTACTTGGAATTCTAGGATCCGTCTTAAATGAAATATTGGATCTACTTAGTTTCTTAATGCTACCACCATCGATGTTCCAAGCAACCCAAATAGCCATCTTTCTAGTCTTGTGCAGGGCTAATGAAAAATGTGTATAATCGATGACTTCAGACCCATTTAATTTGTATGCTACACTTGCCACATCTAGTTTTGGTGTTTCTACTTTCACACCTAGAAAATCAGGATTATAAGCCTTACCAGCATTGGGTGTTGTTACAATTGTTTTGGAAGTTTTGATACCTAGTTTTTCAAAAACTGACTTAGGGTAGCAAGCCAAAGCGTACTCCAAAGGATTTGCAGGGCCTTCACCAGCAAAATGTAGGCCTGCCATGATGTCTGACGGTTTATTATCTGATTTCAAAATCATCCAAACAGAACCTGAATCACCACCTTCTGATATTTCTCCTCCTGATGGTGGTCTCGTATTGTCTACGCCTATTTCAAAACAGCCTATCTCTTTTACACCAGTCATACCACCATAATTAATTTTAGTGATCACATCTGTGCGGACTACGACGCCATAAGTGACTTCGGTCGTACGACCACTTTTCACTACCTTATCGTCTAACTCTGGATCACTGATATCTTTCACCGGTGTATTCAACTGTAGAATGTCTTCGCGGTAAGTACGATTTTCTATAGAAGATAATGCACAGTCACCTGCAATGCCAAGATATGACCTGACCAATTGTCCACAACTATTCAAGTGAATCCTGTTGTCATCCAAAGGACCTGGCTGGACTATTGGATCACCAATATTGCCCTGACTGCCATGCAAAACGTGCCAATTGCTGAGAATATATGGTGTTTCTGTCACTCTATCATATACAATACATCCGAGTGTCCCAGCTGTACCATGGACATTTGAAATACTGACCCCAGGACGTATCGGATCTATTTTTATCTTACGATTATTCGGTACTACGTCTTCTACAATAGTGTAAGACAGATTGTATGTGCGCTGCAATACGTCAGTAGGAATGATCATGCCATCTACCTCAATAGATTCAGGAATCATGGTAGTACCTGCTGCTTCGAGTTGATCCGCTTCCAGTTTTGCGTCTACCGTAAATTGAATGGTAAGTTCATCTGTCCTTTTGCCATCTTTGATTTTGTACCCTACACCGATTGATGAAATATTACCATCCTTTAGATAATCATGTCCTTTGGATCGTATAAATTCTCTCAATGATTTAAGGACTTCCTTTTTTGATTTTTTGGATTTTGATTTTGCCATTTCAGGATGATTTAATAGATGATTACAAATAACAATACAAAATTAAGCACAAACAAGCAAATAGTAAATATAACTTTTGTTATATCAAGGCATCAATCCACTATTATTTTGAATTATTTATATTTATCAGTACTAAAACGTATAACAAAAGTTATACTCGGAACATAGGATTAATGAAATAGAATTACTATTTGGGTAATTTGTGATGGGTTAATGTTGATTGTGGGTAATGTTAAAACATCATTAACTTTCAATAAATAGTATTAATCCAAAATATGAAGCCAACTTTGATAGGAATATAAATCATTTAAAAAAGGTTGCAAGAGTGTAAAAATGATGAGACAAATCTTGCATCAATATTAAAGTACTTTTAATTATAGTTTCTAGGAAGAGATAACCTTTCCAATATAATTAACAACAAAAAGTTAAATCTTTTCAAGCAATTCTTTGGCTTCTTTGTATTTATACCCATTAAATTTAATAATATCCTTGAGTAATACTTTTGCTGCTTTTGGATCGTTGTCCAATAAGTAGGCTAAGGCTGTAAACCATTTCGTCTCAGCCTCCAAAGAGCTATTGGAAGCAACTTTTTGAAGTGCATCCAATGCTTTCTTTGGCTGAGGATTTGATCCTTTGAGATGAGAAACACCAAGATAAAAATAATCAGAATTTTCATAAAATTCTGAATTAACTATTTGTTGAAATAAACGGATAGACTCGTCGAAGTTTTGATTTGCAAATGCATAGTTAGCGTCTATACGCAATTGTTCAATAGAAACATTGTCTTTGCGCATACTTGATGGATCGCCTAGTATATGAGTATTCCGAATATGTTCAACAGCCATTTGTTGAGGTGTAATATCTGAAAGTAAAAAATTTGTAACAATAAAAGAAGCTAAAAAAATTATAGCCACTGCTGCATATTTTATCCATGAGAAATGTTTTATCTTTGGAGAAGGTGCCTCTCTATGGATATTGTATTTTTGGGCCAATTCAGCAGCATATTTTCTTTTGAGATCCTGTTCTGTCAAATAGGATACTATCAATTTATTTTGTTCCTCGTGTTGAGATTCTTTATTTGTTTCCATTTCTTATGTACAGTTAGTTAGTATTTATAAATTTTTAAAAAAACTTCTTTAAGACTATCCATGGCTCTCTGTTTTTTCTTTCGCATGGCAGCATCATTTGTTTTCATATCATTAGCAATGTTTTTAAGGGTTCGATCTTCATAATAATATTGTGTAAGAATGGTTCTTTCTGAATCATCTAATGCTTTCCATGCCTTATCAAGTTTATCAAATTGATCTTCTTGGTAATCTTCCTCTATTTCTTCTACCTTTAACATTTGTTTTAGTTTTTGTTCGTAAGTCATTTGAGATAAATAATTATTTGATGCCATTCTAGTAAAAAGGTATCTTAAATTGCCATAAACAATTTTGCCTTGTAACAATTTTAACCTGAATTCCAACATAGTATCCATAGTGATATCATAACTAACTTCATACTCCATACTATATTTTGATGCTAAAAATTTTCGACAATCTTCGAAGTGTGAGAGAAATATATGTTCAAAAAGCAGATCCTGACCAGTTTGCATCTGATCAAGCATGACCGAAAATTCATCTTGTCGTAACCCAAAATTTTGATTGGGACTATTATTATTGAAATGAATAA